GAAAATGAGTAAATTGTCCCAGTCAGAGCTAGGATTTAAACCCGGATCTGCCTGACCCCAAGGCTTTTGTGACTAACTGCTTCTGTTGCCTGAACCCCAGGGAGAAGGCCCTCCCTTGGGGACAAGAGAAAAGATGTGGGTGGGGTGGGGAGTAGGAGGGGGGCTGTCACAGTATTTCGCTGAGGTTAAGAGCCCAAGCTTGACGGTCACGTAGTGTTATGATTCCATTTATATGAAATTCCCAGAATAGGCAAATGCACAGAAACAGGAAAGTAGATTCATGGTTGCCAGGGGCTGGCAGAGGAAAGAAAGAATGTACAGGGGAAGCGGGGGGCGGGGGGGAGGACTGTTTCATGGTGTGGGATTTCTTTCTGGGACGATGGAGATGCTGCTCTTAAATTAGATAGCTGTGAGGACCGCATAACATCACAAATATACTAGAAAACACCGAATCATATGCTTTTGTTTACTTATTTGTTTATTTTTTAGTAATCTCGATGCCCATTGTGGGGCTTGAACTCACGACCCCAAGATCGAGAGTTGCTCGCTCCGCTGGGCTGAGCCAGCCAGGCACCCTGAATCGAGCACTCTGAGATGGTTAAGTTTTATGTTCAGTGAATTGACTCTCGATTGAAAAAGAAGAGTACAAACTTGAGATCCAGTCTGTCTGGATTTGCATCTCCCTGCACCGTTGACTAGCTGTATGTGACCCTGGCCAAGCCACCTCTCTGTGCCTCAGTTTCTCTATCTGGCAAACAGGGGTTGTAATAACAGTACCTATCTCAGAAGGTCATTGTCAGCATATAAAGGACTGGGGACAGCACCTGGCACATAGAAAGCACCCCACATTGGCTATAACAATAATGTGGTAGAGCTTCAAGGAGCTTCAACCCTACGTGTCTCCCTCCCCAGAATCCAAGTGTTTGGGGTCCGCAATGGACTGGATGGTCATGGGAGGGAGTGTGAGCTTATTCTCAAACCTTCCCTCCCAAGATCCTCCAAACGGTGTCATCTGAGAAACCCCCTCCACAAACAAGCCAGGGGTCCACTCCCCGGGAGGCCCCCCGCGGTGTGGAGGGGGTTGCTCCTCGCTGGCAGACCCACCGCCTTAGGATGGAGGTCGCAGCGGCGGCCGGGGAGGTGTGGAGCTGCAGCGCGCCGCCTAGTGGCACCTGCGAGACACGGGTCCCGACTGCCGAGGGAGGTGCCAAACCAGAAGCGGCCCGCCCCGCCGGCCGGGAACCTCCTAGCTGCTTTTACATCAGCATTGTTATTAAAGAAGCAGCCTGTATTCAACCAGATAAGGGGCCTTCTGTATATTCTTTTCAATTCGAGGAGGTAGTGTTTCCAGTTCACAGTTGAGGAAACCGAGGCTAGGAAGGGCTCAGCAGCCAGCCCTTCTCCCAGCCCCTAAGAGCTGTCCCTGACCCATCAAATGAACATTAGCTCAACTCCAGATTCCAGAACTCTTGTCTTCCTCACGTGGCTTCTGGTTTGGGAGAAACGAGGATAGCCCGTGGAAGCATCTGCAGCCACCACTAAGGGTCAGAACTGGCTCTGGGACTGTTTCCAAGCAGCTAAGCTGTAGGAAGGCAGCCCATCACCTTGCCCCAGACCCCAGGCCCCCAGGAAACGGAGGGGGAGGCGGGAGGCTCCTTCTAGGGCCCCTTTGACAAGGTTATGGGCCCTCTGCTCATTAACCTCTCTTTTTCCAGCCTCGTTGATCTTTCCACTCAACCAGTACTGATCGTAGGCCTCCTGTGTGTACGATGCTGTCTTCCAAGCAGGATATAAAATAGTAAATGGGAAAGGAGGGGCCCTGCCTCCAAGCAGCTCACCACCTCCTCCTCCTTCTTAACTTAAAGCAGGACACCTTTGCTGTGAGTCTGGTGGCACTGGTTTTGGGAACACCTTGATAATTCTTAATCCAGTTATTTCAATGAGTCATCCCAGTGCCTAGATCTTGCCCGTTCTTCACCCATCCCAGGAAGAGGTGCAGGCTCAGGGTATTATGACTTCCCCCGGAGTCCTTTCCCTGGCCCTGACTGAGGACCAGCACTCACACTGTTACAGCATGGTGGCGGGGGGTGGGGGGCGTGGAATTACAGAGGGAACCCAATGTGGTAAGTTCCTCACCCTGAGGCTGGAGCCCTGGAGGGAAAACAGAGCCCAGGATGCTCCCCCCACACCCCTATTGGCATATTTTAATAGTTGAAAGAGTTTGTAGGCTTGGGAGGAAAGTGGGACAGACACCTGCAGGAGAGGGGGAAATAAAGAACCACTCTTCTATGGCTTGTCCTCCCATCCCCCCTTCCCTGCTGCCAGGAATTAAACAAAGTCATGAAACCTGACATTGGACTAGAAGAGCCTACCTGGTACAACGACTGCCTGAGCAGCAAGTCCAGAGGACTGTCATTTTTGGAAAAATCTCCAATTCCCACTGGCCTCTGATGAAGGCAGGGGTGGGGGGAGGGGGGGCACCTGCCCCAGTCCTGAGGTTCCCCACAGGCATGCCATGTTTCTGCTGAGGTCCCTGCTGAGTCGTTCAGCATAGTGTCCTTGACCATGAGTCTGCGTCTGTCCAGGGTTGGCAGTCAGCTGTGGGTCTTGGTACCTGTGTCCCTGTATGTGTTTCCTTGGGGAAGTTAGGTATCTAAATATCAATTTGTCATCTTCTTAAGAGTGTATTTGCATTTGCACAGGTGTATGGTGTTGTATGTGTTTGTGTCTGTGACACAGGTTATGTGTGTGCTTTTTTTTTTTTTTTTTTTTGGTCTCTTGTCTCAGGTATATGGTTTTCTCTGCAGCTGGAGGCCTATTTGTAAGGGTTTCTAGGAGGGCCATTTTGCACCAATGGGTCTGTGCTGCCTGTTTACTTGTGCGTGCTTTTGTAGGTGTCTATTGGCGAGGCGTGCTTGTGACTGTGTCTAGGGGTTTGTGTATGTATGTATGCTTATAGTTGTGTGGCTGCGTGGGGTTGGCTTGGTGTGATGAGCTGTTGACTCTTATCCACTGCCCTTGCTGGGGCTGTCCTGGGCCAAGCTAAAAATAACCCAACTACTTTTGTCCATAGGGACCTTTCTCAGTTGGCCAAAGTTCTTTGCAGGGAGTCCTGCTCCACCCACATCCAGCCTCCTGATCTGGGAATAACCAGCCGGGGGGGGGGG